TTCATTTCTATTGCTATGTTTTTCTCCTTCTTTTAAGAGTTATTTATATTTTTTTGGGCATGTGTCATGAAATTATTTTATGTGAATAAGTGTACAATCATGGAAAATGTTAAAAATATAAACAACTCTTGCTTGGAAATAAATGGGAGGATATGTAGCTTAGAAAAAAAAATAAACGTGCATAGAATGAAGGTTATTAAAACTTCACAAGGGGAAAATATGTGTAAAGACACAATTTTCTTGAGAGAATGTGCACCCTCTTTTTCGTGAGGAGGTGCACAATTCCTCACTTTATTGAGGAGGTGCGCACTCCCTCCTTAGGGAATAGTTAACGACCAACTCCTTTCTATTTAGAGTTCGATTTTTTTCCTTCATTTCTATCACTTTGTTATTTTGCATGATATATCTAAAAAAAATTAATATTGTTGAATTGGTTGATTTCATTAGTGATATAGTAGTGTATATATACATAAAAAGTGTGATAGATATGGATTCTTTTAATATCCAATCTCTATATTATAAGAGTTGATTAAGCTAAATGCTTTGAGTTATGTCCGCTTGGTTGTGATTTTGTGATTTGCTTGATTTTTTATTTTTATTTTTATTATGCCACCATAAGATAGAGCATCCATCAAGAATGCCTATCTTGGAATGATGACTCTAAAATTATCGATATAAAAGTGCCTTAGTTAATGAGTCAACGAGCTAGTCATTGGTGTGAATATGGGAGACACGTAGTTGTTTACGTGTAACTTGGTCACGAATAAAGAAGAAATCTATCGCAATATGTTTCATGCGACTATGGAAGGCTAGATTGGCATAGATATAAGTCGCTTGACGTTTTCATAGTAAATGATAGGAGAATTAGTGATAGGGACCCACGACTCTAATAGAAGGTGTTGAAGCCGGATGAGTTCGATAACAAAAGTGGTGATGGCTTGATATTCGGCCTTTGTGGATGATAGAGTGATGGTGTGTTATTTCTTAGAACTCCGAGTTGATAAGTTGATAGGAGTGGCACTAAAGAAAAAAATGCTATAATAGATTTTTTTATCATTTAGGTCACCCGTCCGATCGAATTCGCAAAAGTATGAAGGTGAAAAAAAGACTAACGATGGATGAGGAGACCATGTTACGAGGTGTCTTTGAGGCGGCGAATAATTCATTTGATGACTTACCAATAAAGTATTGTAGGTTGATGTATGAATTGAGACAACTTATTGATGGTAAAAGAGATGTCTAGTCCGATTAATGAGAGATATTGAAGGGAACCAAGTACGTAACGAGTATTGAGTTGCATCTATATAAGGACTTCCATTATTGAGTTTCGAGATTTTAGAGGACGAAAGAGGTGTGGAGATGGAGTTAGTAGTATGCATGTTAGTTTTAGTGAATAGGTCACATATGTATTTCGTTGAGAGAGGAAGAGATATTGGTTGGTGGAATAAGCTTCATACTAAGGAAATATGGCAAGACACCAAGGTCTTTGATGGAGAATCATTTTATAAGAGTGGTGATAAAATCCTAAACCTATTATGTAGAAGATCCGATGACGATAATATTTTTAAAATACATAAGTAAATACAATGTTTCCGAAGTATTATGAATGAATAGAGAAGCATCACAAACAGATTTATTGAATGCGGTATAAAGCAAAAAGTTATAGAGTTCATGATACCATGTATGTGGAGCTTGACAAAGCCCATAGATGGCTTTTTTTTACACATATGTCGGGAAAATTAAGGATCGAGGAATCCAGTGGTTACTCTATGTATACATCATCTGTGAGAGTCTCCTAGAAGAAGGCATTATAAACATTTTATTGACGTAAGGGCAGTAGTTAAAAACTACAAGAGTTAAAAGGAGAAGGATAATAATTTGTTTGACTATAGGATCGAACATCTCCATAAAATCAATTTCAAGCCTTTGATGGAATTCTTTGGATATAAGACATGCTTTGTAGTTGGCTATAGTGCCATCGAGGTTGTACTTAATATGAAATATCCACTTGCACCATAATGTTTTAAGAGGAATGAGGGAACTAGTTTCCTGGTGCCATTATGAAGAAGAGCACCATATTTAGTACTCATAGCTTAGCACTATTTAAATGATTTACGAACTTGTGTTATAGTTATTGATTTGATGTTACAAGAAGACTTGATGGTGATGTGAAGATCAAAAAATAAGTTTGGGTTTGTATATGTTATTTTTAAATGGAGTTTGAATAATTTAGGGTGGAGAATAGATAAGGTTATAACTATTTACTTATGGATATAAGGGTACGGGAGCATTATTGTGTTTGTAAGAGGAATTAAAGAAATCTTTATGTGGATCCGTAGATGATTGTAGAGAGGAGTGGCCATGTAAAGTTGATGTTTGGGGTATGATAATAGGGTTAGATAGGGGCGTGGGTGGGTATGCGTAATATTTAGGCGGGGAGATATATTACATGTGTAATAGTAGATGACTCATCATCCAAAGATGATGAGTGGATAGGGGAGATATGAGCCACTTAGAGGAATGAAGTGAAGATGTTTGGCAATGATTAAAGGTTTTAAGATGAAAAAAGGAAAGGTGTTTTCAACAAACATAACGTTATAGAATACATAGATGCGATTTATCTATGGTTCAAAATAGAGATATGCATTGTATTATATGGAATACCCAATAAAGACACAATTTAGAGTGAGGTTAAAGTTTGTACATAGTGTAGGGTCTTAACCACAAATAGCACAAGCACCCAAGTGCGCATAGTTTATAGTAATTTAAGACGATTTAAAAAAAAAAGTGAAGGTAGGTACTTTGGTGATGTAGAGTTTGGGTAGGCATTCGATTGATTAAGTAAACTATCGTTTCGAAGGCAAGAGACTTAAATTAGAGAGGAATAAAAGCATGATGGAGAAGTGTTAATGTAATTTTACCAATATAATGGTGCTTGCATTTGGTAGTGCCAACATGTTTAGGCATGTGAAGGGGTAATTATAAATGTTGGTTGTAATGGGTGGTTAAGATGTGGCCAAGAGACTAAGCTTCACCATTACCATTAGTGTAAATAATTTTAATCTTGCCATTGAAGAAATTCTTAACAAAGGGTTTTAATTTGTTAAATATCCGTGGGACTTCAAATTTATGCTTGAGAAAATATATCCAAATGTATTTTGTGAAGTAGTCCATAAAAATAACATAATACGATTGCTAAATAATGGTAAGTGAGTAAGATCCCGGACATCGGTAAATAAAATTTTGAATGTTTTATTGCATTTGAGATTGGAGATTTCAAAAAGGAATTTATGGCTCTTATTACTTAAACAAGCATCACAATAAAAGGAGAGTATCACAACGAGAGGTAGGTATTTTGTAGAAGGATATAGTTTTGTGAAGGACTTTAAATGAGGGATGAGCAAGTCAATGATGCTAGGTCATTGAAGAAAATATACTAGGCGAGGATGTGGTGGTCAAGTTGTTCATGATAGTGGTGTTGTTAGACATTGTTGACATTGGCTAAAATAGAGATTCCCTTCATTTTAGTCACGAACCAAGTATGTCCCCATGATTAGATCCTTCTCGTGAAAACAATCAAGAAAGAATTAAATTGAGGTGTTATTGTGAGAGCAAAGCCGAGAAATATAAACTAGATTTTGTGAGATATATAGGCACATAACACATTTTTAAGTTTAAAGTCATTGAGGGGTGTATAGAGAAAGGTGGAACCAATATGAGATATAGGAATGATTTTACCATCCCTAACCATGATCTCCTTTGTACTTCTATAGTTTAAACGAATAAAGAGATTTTAAAGATCGGATGTCATGTGACGAGAGGCACCGGAGTCATGAATCCAATTGTTACAAGGTGTAGATAAAATTATGGACATATGATGTGCTTGGGGCTAATATTGAAAGCCTTGAATTATTGGAAAAAAGTGGCATATATGAGCGAGTGTGACCAACTTTATCACATAGTTGACATATTGTTCGAGTAAGACCATTGAAGGAGGAGGAACGCAATTGATTTTGATTGAAAGTGTAGCAATTATAGGGTCGATATAACCCACTACGATTGTCGCCATTGTGGAATTGTTGAGTAAACTTGTTGGAGGGGATAGAGTGTTGAGCATTCCTAACAAAAGATGAGTAGTAGTTTTTTTGTCCATGACCTTTGCAAATGGAGTTTTTCTCGTTATATTGGGCAATAGTGAATGAACTTTCCTTTTTCCCTTCATCACGTCGAAGGATAGCCTCGTGAAAAAGGAGTTTGTCATGTAATTCTTCAAATGAAGTGGGCAAATCACAAACTCTAATGGTAGAGGAAAAGGAAGAGTAGGAGGAGCCAAAAAAATTGAGAATGCGTATGATAGTGGCCACTATCATCCACTACATGGCCGATGAGTTCAAAATCATCAATGATGCCTTTGATTGCCTATGTATAATTAGAGATAGTTTTGCCTTCGTGCTTACATTAGTTAGGGAGTCTATAAGGCTAAGTCTACGAGTAGTAAAACAATTTACGTATGTGACTTGAAGTTTGTCCCATGCTTGAGCCGAGGTTTTGGGAACGAAAGACCATTGATCATGCTACACGAATGCATGAGACTTGAATGGCATAGAGCAACAACGAGTCTATCTTTTTGGAGCCAAGAAAAATAGTACGTATTGAGAATTAGTTATTTAGTGCTAGCTTCTTCTATATGAGGTGGAGGACAAGGATGTATGCCGTTTAGAAATCTCATGAGTTTATAGCCAAAAAGAAGGTTCTCAAATTGTGATTTTTAGTCGAGCATAGTTTTCACCTTTGGTGAGTTTGATAAGGATTTGTGGGGAGTAAATTTCCACGATCTAGGTGATGAGGTTGGGTATTTGAGTTTCAAATAAGGTGACTTGGGAAGGAAAGAAGTGGTTTCATTAGCGGATGCGAGGTTAAGTGGTCATGTTTGCAATCAAGGGCTTTGTAGAAGAGAAATAAGTTTGCATTTACGGATTTTATAGAGAAAAAAGGAGTTTATGGCTAGAAAAGTTGTAGTGGAGAAAGGAGTTCATGACTATAGAAGGAAAGAGGTTGATGGCCAAAGTTTTGTAAGAGAAGGGGAAGTCTACGACTAGAATTTTCGAAGAAGAAGAAATTTGTTGCTAGGGTTTGGAGTTGGATCACAAGTTTTTTTTACGGTTTGTGCTTTGATACCATAAAATAGAATCAATATTCTAAAATTGGTTGATTTTTTCGTTGATATAATAGTATATAAATACACAAAGAGAGTTACAGGTATGGAAGCTTTTAATTACACAATCTCTACATTATAGGAGCTGAGTAAGCTAAAACCCTTGAGTTATATGTCAAAACCCTTGAGTTATATGTCTGCATGATTGCTATCTTGTGATTTGCTTGATTAGTTTTTATTAATATCTAACAATTTTTTTGTTGCTTTTAAAATTTAGAAGAAAAAAATTATGTTCTCCTGATTCCAAATTATCATAAAAGAAAAAAAGTATCTCAATTTCTCCCCCAGTTTTCCTCAAAAAATAAAAAATAAAAATAAAAATAAAAATAAAGTTGCTCGAAGGATAAAGTTATTATTTGCATTATAGGGACCTTTTTAGCATCTTGTGAGATACCGGCTTCAAAAACCAAGGGAAAAAAAAAATCCATTTTTTCTTATACTGTCCTGTATGCCGAGTAATGATTCTTATTGTAGGGATCTTGTAGTCTCCAAATCCGTGGAACACGTAGATAGCAATGTAGAATCGTTTTAAAGTGGGAAGAAATTCTTCGGTGATAAGTCAAACAAATGCAGCCGCATCATATTCAAACAAGAGGTTATTGTTTTTATTTCGATGGAAAACAAGAGGCTGTTATTATGATTAGAGAATAGACAAACAAATAAGACAAACAAAAAACCATCAAAACTTGTACGTCGAAAGAGGAAGGAAGAACGTGATGTCTAGCTTATGCAATAAGCAACTGGTAATAGAGCCATGTAAGTGGACCTCCACCATTTTGATACAGCCCTCCGATCTAACCGTAGCCCATGAGGATCAATTCTAAATTGGATGTTGGTTTGACTACTCAAGAGTTTCCATCTCCACATTCCAACAAAAACCCATGATATTAATATTGACCCACAGCTAGCTAACGACCATATGGTGATTGGTGCCTAATCTGTGGGTGTGCAGCAATTGTCGTGGAGTCCAAATTCTGTCATCCAATAACTAAAAAATCTGTTCGAACGAATTGGCAGCTTACTCAATCAACTTATTTTGTGAGTACGTGAAGCTTAATTTATTATATCGGGAAAGTACGTACGTTGGCTTTTGAAAAGTTTGATTATCTATAGGATGTGTCTCAGCTGCTCTTTTTTTTTTTAGCTTTACTTTGTTTGTTAGACATAGTTTTGGTTAAATGATTCATAGAAAATTTCTCATATATATATATAGTAATAATTTTCACAAAAACTGGTTAATCCATCTAAAGCAGTAGAGTTTACAATTTTTTTCTTTTGAGAATGAAATGTGACCATTGATATATTGTATTTATTATATGATATCAGTTATTGTTTTCGAAAATAATAATGTCCGTAAAGCTTGTAATACCATATCATAAATATAAGCTGTCGCCCTTCAGATAAACATATAAATTATAAATATGAATTGGCTTCGCATGATACTACATATTATACGTACCTAAACATAGTTAAGGTCATAGTAAATCTATGATTTAAGAGAAATGTTTTAAAAAGTCACGACTTATTTTGACCAATATATTAAGCATGAGTAGAGATGAGGTTAGAGATGTACGTAGAGCTTACAAATTTGAATGGACAGAGACATTTAGAAATGGATACACTTGATCAATTGTGATTTGTTGACAACATTTCTCAATATTTAAAGAAAATATTTGCAAGTGGACCTAATTGATTAATTTGGACATATGTATCATTGTTTTATGATAAGTACCGTTCCATTTGCACGTTAAATCCAAGGGTCTGCTATCTTAATTAACACCCTCAGATTCTGGACGAGAATAGTACCAACCATAATAATTAAAGTGGCATGCAATTTGCAACTGCTTTATCAAAGATGCCATTAAGGTGGCTGAACAACAATTATTTAGGGTCAATTTTATGATATCATAAAATCAATATTGATGCGTAGAGTTTCTTTTTATTTATTTGATATAAGCAGTTTATTCGTATCAGCTTAGGAATTAATCAATATTAAATTTATTATTAGAAAGATGCATTTTTTTCACATCAATCCAACATGTATAGAGAGAAATATGTTTTTTGAAATGTTAAGTCTAATATTCCAATTCAAAAAAGGAAAATAAAGAGCCATCTTACCATAGATCAATCATGAAGATTATTTCCTTAATTAAATCATAAACAAAAGCATTTTCCTTTAACGATTTGACCGGCGCGAAGGATCTTATCCTTTAGAGTTACCTATTAGCTTGTGGTATGGAATTTATTACATACAAAAGCAGGTTTTGGGTGGGCAATGGTATCATTTTAAACAAAAGGGGACGCAATAGGAGACCATTTTAACAATAAAATACTGTTTGTGGTTTATCGTCGAAGCAACATGGACACATTGGAGATTAGACAATCTGCTTCTTGATCATTTTGCTCCTCATATTATTTTGAATTCTCTTGGATGAACCCACATTGTCTCTTCCAAAGGTTGGTTCTCACAACTTTCAACCCAGTACGTAGCATCAAAGTCTCTGTCTCCCATTCAAAATTTTAGGTATTGTAAGGCTTAAGAATTTATATTATTATGTTAATTTTATAGCAAGTTGATGTTGCCTTTAAGTGGAGGGGTCAATGATTGTTACTTTCAAGTATTAATATATTTTTTTTAACTCACACGTTTAAAATTTTTAGTAAAACTTATTTATTAGAATTTGAGTTCGTAATCTTTTATTATAAGAGATTATTACTATAAAACTATAAGCTCTTTAATTAAAAAAAATGAGAAAAGAATTTTCCTCTATATCTTGATTTCACTGTGATGTAAACAATTAGAATGCAGATGAAAAAAAGAACATAAACCGCCAGAGTTAGAGGTTGTGGTCCGGCACCATTTAAAGGTTGTTGCCTAGTGAGAATTTGAAGTTCTTTCCAGCATTAAAAGCATTGCATAGGCTATCCTTTTGTTAATTGCTAAAGAGTTCAAGATCAAATTGGTTGGCTTATATTCCATCTTCGAGGGTAGTACTATGCAATTAAGGTGAATGCACACAGAAATAGAGTGAAATAAGGGGCAAGCTTCTTCTAATACTGTCAAATGAGAGATAACTGTTTCTTTGATTTGAGATATTATATGGATATCGAAAGATTTTGGCAATTAAAAAACATGATTATTAACACAAAACCGGGGGAAGAAGTCAAAACGCATCCTCATTATCTATGGAACGCCCTATAGACGGCACGGCAACCAGAGAATGCCCTAGTAGGCGGTTCACCAACTTCATGGACGATATTGGAGTGGGTCCCAAGTTGGTGGACCCAATACGACCTACTTGCCTTATATACAATGTCTGTAGGCCCCAGCACTAGAATTCAACCGCAAAGGTCCGTTGATGGTGGGCCTGGTGGAATTCCATATATTTTTGTAAGCTTTAGAGCTTTAGGGCAGAAAAAAGTTGATTGAACCATTAGGGTAGTGCCCCCACCAAGGAAGGACAGGGAGGGGTGACCTTAACGGCTCGAGTGGAACCCATATTTGGGCGTAACGGACTTTCCTTTTCCTTTTAGAAATCTAAAACTTTATATCCGTTCTGTAGCATTAATTTTTAAATTATTATTTAAGAGTATTGTTTTGAATAAAAAAAACTTTAGTCATTTAAATAAATAATATTAAATTCAAGTTTTTGTATATGTAAATTTTTTTTAGATAGCTATCCTCTTTTTGTGCATACGATAAAATAATAAATAATTAATCTGGATTTTTAAGTTTAAAATACCTAAAAAAATCTAAAAAATATATAGGAATGATTAGAGTTCTCCAATTATGAAAACTTGGAAGCAATTTTCTTTAACATGAGTTTACATGATTGCATGAAAAGCTTCTGTTATTTTCAAGTTAACTTGTCACCTAATGCTGCATGATAGAATGAAATCATCTTCTTAATGCATGATGAATTTGTTAAGACGGATTTGATAGATCACCAAAGCTTCTTCTTGGTTGGCAGTGAGGTCTTGTCAAAACATGGATAATTTGGTGATCAGAAACTTTTTACTCGCAAGTCCAACTTGTCCCTAGCTATAATGACCTCTTAACTAAACTTTAATTTTTGTGTTAACTATACTTGACAAAGAAAACATGACATTATCCGTTGTTACTCTGTTTATTTGTTTCTATATATTAACATCAATTTACATTTTTGTATATATTTATATTATTTTCCAACTTCTGCATCTTTGTTGATATCTCATTAATGGCAGTTTTTGCAGTTCTTATTTATTTATTTGCTTATAATTAAATCCCCCCTTTTTTTTTTTTCCCTAATTATGCATTATTGGTGATCCTTGATTGACCAACAATTTTCAAAATCAACAGATGTGCGAATTAAAAAGCAAATTATCTGGAGGCACACATGGCCAGGATGAATGGATTTTAAAAATGTCAACACCAAGTTTTTTGTTTAATCACCAATAATGTAAAGTACCACGAGCAATTTCATGCCAGTATGTGATTAATATGCCCGTGACATGAAAGCCCAATAGAATGTTAAAATAAGACTTTAATCCCATCAATTACACATTTCAGTACGTACAACACTAGCTATATCAGTATATCCTTCCAAAATTTCCCAACTCATGCCCTATATAGAAAAATGAAAGTCAGTGCCACACTCCTTCGCTTACCACGTGAACCCAAGCCCCACTTCCTCAGTCCTTCCCTCCCTCAGGCGCTCGCTTCTCACGTCTCACTTGTATATAAGTTCAATGCACAAGCAACTTTGTACCTCCTAGAACATTGTAGATACTCAAAATCCAAGATGGGTTTTAAGTGCCATGTTTTGTTTTCCATTTTTTGTCAAGTTATGCTCTTGTTTTTGCAAGAAGCAATAGCTGAACAACACTACTACTACAATGTTAGCAGGTTGAAGGGGAGAAAGCAAGCGACTGGTTGTAATTTGTTTCAAGGGAGATGGGTGGTTGATGCTTCTTATCCTCTCTATGATTCCTCTGGCTGTCCATTCATTGATAGTGAGTTTGATTGCCAAGGTTATGGCAGACCTGATACTCAGTATCTCAAATACTCTTGGCAATCTGATTCTTGTCAGATACCAAGGTACTAGAATTATTCATTTCTTTCGTTGAAGGACAGACCAAAAACATATATACACAAGCAGTACTGTACTGATGTTTTTTTCATATTCCTTTTGGTGTAGGTTCAACGGTGCAGATTTTTTGGCAAGGTGGAGAGGGAAGAAGATAATGTTCGTGGGTGACTCACTGAGTCTGAACATGTGGGAATCATTAGCATGCATGATTCATGCTGCGGTGCCTAATGCCAAGACAACTTTTTCTAAGCGCAACTTCGTGACCTTTCAGGTGATTTTACTTGCTACTACTTTACCAGTCCTTCCCTTTTCATTTCAAAAATCAAATTCAATTCCAACCTATTTTGTTTGTTCATCTCCTTGCATGTTTGTCCGGGTTCATCTTATTTTATATGTCATCCACCATTCCCTGGTTCTGCTTTTGAGAAAAGCTCTATTTCCAAATTGCAATATTTTGGTCTTTAATTTTCCTTATATTTATATAGCATTAGTGAGCTTGCTTTTCTAGGTATAGCTGTTGTTTATGCTGGACAGAAAACGATAGATTTTGTTTAGTAGAATTAAGGCAATTTAGAGCTTGTTAGTTGTTACTCCACCATTCAAAATTGAGGTCTTCTGTTGCCAAGTGAATGAGCATGAAAGGCACATCCATTGTTTTTACCTACTGCATGGAGGAATCAAAGCACGAGTTAAACAAACAGGCCCATAATTTTCTGGTGATTACATTTATGGGGTAGAACAACTCTCCCCTTTTTTTTTTTTTTCCTTTTTCCCTAGCTTCTGTAGTAGCCATATTAAATACAGTAACGGGAATAAGAGGAGTCATGATTTTTATGGAGACATTTAATCAAGTGGAAGGATCTCGATTCTCAGCTAGTGACGTGTGGTAACTATATGCACATATCACAAGTTTGGATTAAAAATTAGACAAATTTAATTTCAAGCAAAGCATCTGTCTTGCTAACTGGTGAGGTGAGGGTCCCAAGAATGGCTGGTAAGGATTTCCCTTCTACGCCTTGAAAAAAAAAAATCCATTCTTTCGATACAAATTAATGAGATGACCCATTTTGTATTCTACTGCTCTGCTTTAGTGCTTGACTAACAGAAGAGACAGTACAGACAGATATGTTGCTTTCTAAATCCCGTGACTGTCTGAACTCTTTAGCTTGAGAGAGGGAGAGAAAATGAAAGAGGAAATCCATGACCCACAAAAATAAAAATAAGATAAAGAATTGCTCAGGTGCATCATTAGTTGCCATCTTGGACCAAATTAGAGAAAATTAGTGACCCCATCGCTTTCTCTTGACAGCTGTTGCGAAGAAGCTGCCAACCTGGGGTTTTATTGTTATACAGACGGCTGGGCTGGCTACGTATAATTATTTTATTTATGTCTCATAATCTTTATGTATACGATTATTCAACCACATTATTTTTATATATATATATACACAAATCTAGTAGCTACCTATCTCAACGAGATGATAGGATAATTAAGAGACAGCAGTTAACAAATAACTCTAGATTGTAGCTGGATCTTGGTTGGCTTTTCCTTTTTAGCTAGAGAGGTTGAGTTTTAATTGATTTTTTAATGATAGTATCGCCAAACAAAAAATCCTTTTATGTTCTTAAAAGATTATAAACAGTCATGCTACAATTATTTCCGCTAAAACATGTTGTGTTTCTACGAATTGATTTGCCAACACAACCAGCGATGTTTATGAAAACTAGATTTTGTGAAGACTTTTTATGCTTCACGTGAATACTTGTCTAACCTAGCGGTCAGTGGTTCACACTTCAAAGAATATGAATCACGCATGACTACTGTGACGCTTGTGAATGATGGACGCAGATATAATATGTTCTTGAGAGCAAGAATCTTGCATTTATTATTCTGTCTCCTCAAAATGAGTGGTTACAAGAATTTGAGGAGTTTCAATCGAATGCTACTGAAAAACATCACTGGAACTCTTTTTTTTTTTTAATGATGCCGATGTATTAGGAGTAACAATTTTTCTTTTTTTTTAAAAAAAAAAAATCATAGCTATGTGGGTCTCAGCATTTTATGAGATACTTGTCATTGTTGAATTATGAACTACTACCATTTATCATAAATGATGGCATTAATTACTAAGAAGTTAGTAAAAGAGTGTTAATTTCTCTAAAATTGATCTTAAAGGAAAAGATAGAGAAGGGCATCTCATGTTGTATAATCCAACAATAAAATACTCCCAACTCTAAAATGCTAGTGACAAAAGAAGCATGAATTCAAGAAAGTTGTCTTCCTGAACCCATGGATGAAAAGATAATGAAACACTAAGTATTTACAGTATCTATTTCTTGTGGCTGACAAGATAGACTTGCAGGACTACGGTTTGACATTGTACATGGATCGTACACCATACTTGGTAGACATTGTTCGAGAAAACGTTGGCGATGTGTTAAACCTAAACTCCATAGAGGGTGGGAACGCATGGAGAGGGAAGGACGTGCTCATCTTCAATTCCTGGCACTGGTGGCTTCACACTGGAAAGTCTCAAGGGTATTTTTCTTCCCTCCTTCCTCACGCCCTCCCTGCACTTACGTAGTACAGTAATTTCTTTTTATATAAATCCATGTCTCTAACTCTAGTTTTATTGTCGATAATATTTGCACAGATGGGACTACATCCGGGATGGATCAGCATTGTACAAAAACATGAACCGGTTAGAAGCATTTAATAAAGGATTAACCACATGGGGCAGATGGGTTGACCAAAATATTGATCCTTCTAAAACTAAAGTCTTCTTCCAAGGGATTTCACCAACACATTATCAGTAAGTGAAAAAATAATGCATTAAAAGATATAGTAATTTGAGCATTAAATGCTATGCAGCATGTAATACAACAAACACAACTCATTTCATTCCAACTGTTTCAATAAAACTAGGGGCAAGGACTGGAATCAACCTAAAAAGAGCTGTTCTGGAGAAGCAGTGCCCCTATCAGGGTCTACATATCCAGCTGGTGCACCTCCAGCAGCAGCAGTTGTAAGCAAAGTGTTGAGCTCAATTAGGAAGCCAGTTTATCTACTTGACATAACAACACTATCACAATTAAGAAAAGATGCTCATCCCGCATCTTATAGCGATGGGTCTGGCACAGACTGCAGCCATTGGTGCCTTCCTGGATTGCCTGATACTTGGAACCAACTCCTATATGCAGCTCTCATCATGTGAAGGTCAACATCAAAATCTTAGTTTAGTTTAGTTCTTTTTTTTTTTTCTCTTTTTTTTGTACAATTGTATATTTATGGGGGGGCATAAATTTCTCATTTACACCTGATAGGGTGATAATAAGGAGGCAAAAACCAAATGTAAAGTGA